ATTTTAATTTATTTTCCCTTTTTCCTCTATTTTTAGTTTATTTTTTCCCTTTGCACCCCTCGCCGAGCACCCCCCGTAGGGGGGGACACCCCTTCGCTGCCACGCCACCCGCACCCCCCAGAACCTCCCAACCCACCCCCAGCTTCTTTACTTAATTAAACAAAAATCGACTTTTATAACGAAAAAGGGGAGGAGGGGAAAATCTAATTTAATCCGGTATAAATTAAAAGTAGTAATAATAATAATAATAAAGCGTTCCCCCCCACCACCCCTCCCCATGGAGTTTTGAAACAGGAGTTTCGAGGCGCCCACCGGGACATCGGCCAGAAAACGGGAGAAACAGCCCCAAAAATCGGCCCCCGACACCCCACTCCACCCCCTCCTGCACTTTTCTGCTTATTTTTAATCGTTTTAAGCAAAATCGGAGCCGAGTTCGTCGAAAAGCTCTCACGCTGCGCAAGGCGCTGGTTTAACGCGAAAACAACAACAATAATAATAATATATATATATTTATGTTTTTATTTATATCTAAGAGCAAAACTGCGTCACAGGCGAGGGCTCAAACCCCGCTGCTTCCAAAGGGAGGGCGCTCCTTTTCCCAGTCTCCTTTAGCAAACCAGAAAAAAAAAAAAGGTGGGGGGGATTGGGGGTGAGGGAGAAAGAAGAAAGAAAGAAAAAAAGATATTAATGGTTTGCTCGCTTTTATGTGGCTTTAAAAGCATATTTTATAAATGTTTAATGCCTTCACGCCCGGACCTCCCCGCCGCTGTCCCCGGGCCGGGGGGTTGGCATGTCATAAATCAGGGAAATGCTAATAAAAAATAAAAAAAAAAAAAACAGGCTCGGGCGGGGCGGGGGGGGGGGGCCCCCCCCCCCCTGCAGCCCCCCCCCCCCCTCCTCCTCCTCCTCCTCCTCCTCCTCCTCCCCTCCCCCCGACCGGGAGCCATCTTGTAGCAGCAGCTCCTGGTTGGGGCATCGCTGCTGCAAAACACGGAGCCGACCCCCTCTCCAAAAAAAAAAAAAAAGCCCCCTCACTTAATATACATTTTTTAAATTATTATTATTATTGTTATTATTATTCCCTCCCGGGCGCGGTGCTGCGGGCCCGCGCACCGTTTTCCCACCGTTTTCCACATCTAATCCCAGCCCCCTTCTTTTCTCGCC